ATATGCAATGACATGACAATCGCTGGGGAAATCTTCACTCACTCACTCCCTCCCTCTCTCCCTCTCGCTAAGCATCAGCGACAGCCGCTTCTGTGGTTGCCGCGTCGTTTTATCGAACGATCCGATTTGAGTACGTTTGAGGATGGCCTTTCACAACCTCCTTCTAAATACGTTTGATGGTGGCGACAAACCATCTCCCAGAGGCATTCGGACTGGCTGCACTTTACTGCAAAGGCAGCAAAGAGAACCGATGAAGAAATTCAATCGACAAACGTGAAAGGCATCGTCAAAGGCAGGTCAACTGCTGGAATATTGCATTGGGGGAATCAGCAGCGCTGCAATCGCAACAGTTTCCTATTACGAAATTGGAAATGAGCAGAAAAGGACGGAGAACTCGTTTATTCGACAGCGCAGAGGCATTTAGAATTCGGATCGGCCATTCTTTTATTAAATTAGCCGAACGTGGCCGCTGCTGTTGCTCTGCGACCATACCCAACAACAGTATGACTGGCCGAAGCTGCAAGTGACCAAGATATGCGTCTTAAGAAGAAGTGTACATAGTATTACTATAGAACCTTTAGTGACTATGTTTTCAGCTCAAACTGTACATTGAAATATTAAAACTTACCAAAATTAACGCTAGAATACGAATTTATGCGTCATGCATATTAATTTGCATTGGTCGATAATTCGTCTAAAGCAACATATATCATGGTTTCATTCTCCATTTGTTTTCACTTGTTTAGGGAGCGATTTAATCATGCCATGGCTGACTCAGTGGCATTTTATCACCTTTAGCGCTAGACGGATTTCTCGTCATTTTATTTGCTGATCACTGTCTTGCTTATCACGAACGATGTTTCTGGACTTGGTACTCGTTTTAGGTTACGGTATAAATATTATAAGATAAATCTGCACGATGGTGCAAGTGGGTGGTACTTTTTGCCGTTATTTCTATTTTTGGAGAAGTAATGCGTCGATTACCATCCTCTGGTGTATGAACCAATATTGTGATATTTATGTCATGACCGTAAAGTAGCGTCGGTATCCAAAATGTTTGTTTGTGATGGGTAAGAGGTTGCTTCAGCTGACAAAATCACGTTGGAAACATCTTGCACTGCAGGTGATAAAATACACGGAATATAAAAATATCATATGCTGATATGACACATTGATAAAGCAAAGAAGCGCTTTTGATTTAAACCGAGCGACATAATTTGATTATCAGACACACAGGCGCTGACTGTCCTTTCACTCACATCTCAAAAACGTTTTCAAAGTGAAAGAGTTTCGGTTCAGCCAGAATGAAACAGCAGCTACGTGCCTGAACATAGGAGAACTAGCTGGGTAGATCCTTATTATCAATGGAGTTCTTCAGGAAGATCTGCTTTCGCCTTTGTTACTCACCACTGTTCCAGAGTTCTTTTTACGAAGAAATGTGACTCATATTTTTTAATGAAATCCAAACCTTCGTGCTAATGAGTGAATAATTAGGATTATGAATCAGTTGCTTTTTTCTTATTCTCCATTCCAACGTTACTTTTGCCTAGGCTTGAATGTATGCCGGAAAGTGCAGTACCTTAACTCATAGAATTAACTCTTCTCACAATTTTAGTCAAGCGGAGGAAATTCTAGTGGTGATGTTCGCCGTTTCAACCGATAACGTCCTCTCGGAATCTTCGGCCGAACTCATATGGGAGTTCAGCGATACAACAGAATCAATTCCGCCTGAGGCTACTTATAACGGTCCGTTGAAAGCCGATCAAAAACAGCAACCACATCTGATGATGGCACACCCTAGCGGCGTGAAGACTAGATACACCGTCAAGAAGGACTCGCTGCTCGACCTGATCGCTGTCGGAAAAGTTGAGGAACAATCGTGCACGTGATGGAATTGTTTTCTATAGTTTGTTTTCAGTCTCAGCTGATCAACACGGCCAGCTTGACAGGCAGCCAGGCATCGATGCCGCTCAAAGTGCTGACCGTCACCCGAAGCGGCATCGTTACCGACGTGACCCTTATGAGTAGCTGCCTGACGATGGAAAGTTCCGCAGTAAAAGTGAACGTTCTTCAGCCATGACCTTGTCACTGATCTCATACCGTTGTCCATGGCTTGTAGGTGACACCCAGCTGTACTGCCGTCTACGTTGACGGATCAGAAGTAAGAGGATCGATAAACGCCACCATACATGTCGAATATGGCGACCTGAAAAGTTTATCGCACTTCACCGTTTGGTATCCGGAGTTTCCTGTCGAAATCTACCTTGACGATCCGGTGTTGCACGCGATCAAAGGATGGCGGGTAGCGGAGCACGATCTGCGGAAGCCACGGTGATGCACCACCGAAAGAATCTCATCAATCACCTCGTTACAGTTGCATTTCAGGAATAACCAGAGCTTCTTGTCAGTGGCAAACAAGAACTCGTGCAGAAATCGCTATCAAGAAAGTCAGATCAGGGTTTATTCGCGGTTTCGGGTGGACGACCTCATGACCGGAATGAGAGCTTACCTTGGAGGCCTCGGTCGGCAGATTCAATGTGACGTTACCTCGTTGGCGAAGAACAGCTTAAGGGTGGCCGACGATCGAATTGCATACATCCATGTCACTGCCAGTGGTAAAGTTATTGTCGAAGGTATAAAGACCGGACGAACAGAGGTTCAGGTATTTTGCTTCGCTTTCCAACGCTAATTATTGTGCTTGAAACATATCGAATAATTTTAACTTCAGGCAACGTTAAAACATAGATGATGCCTGAGTGGCACTTTGGGAGTGAGGTGTTCGATGATTATGCTCTTATGAGGGAGAAACAAATCGCATTCGCGAACGATGCCTCGTTTTCAAACTGAGTGAATAAGCTTTTATTTTTTTTGCTCATGATAAAATTATCCGTTACGCAGTTGCAAGAACCGGCAAAGTGCCAGACTGGCCATCAAAATATCTTGAGTTTGTACGAAAGTTCAGTCACTTATGCTTCTTAGTTCTGAACAATGTAAATAAATGATAGAAAATGTGCAAAATGCGGAAGGTTGCGCGTTATAATGGCCATTTATATAAATAATACCACAAAAAAGAGAATGTTCCTGGATAAAGAAATAAATGGGGTTGATCGTAGCATTTTAAACCCAGTAAACAATTACGCCTTTTCATTTCACCCCTAGGCATTCTCGCCAAATGATGTTATATTTTAAAGATTGGTGAGGATGGCAAGGATAATATCAGGCCATAAGCGACAAATCTTAAAACTTCAATTTTTAAATTCCGCGGCAAGCTACGGTCCCACGATATTTCAGTGCTGTCAGTAACCACAAGCCATAGGTGTGTCTCCGATTATTTTATTGACCAGAGCCGCAGTATCTTACTAGCCAACAACAATGATTCAGGGCTAAATATTCCAAATATGCTTTCACAAACATCCAAACTATGGATTTTCTCACTGTACTATGTTGACTGATAAATAACTCTCCTAAAACCAGATCTTTACAAGTACCTAAAATTTCTGAAATATCATTGATAAGGGACAAAACATTTCATTGGCAAATAAAATGATAAGAGCAGTGTATATGCACACTCTATTCTGAAAGCTATAGAGCCGTGACCAGTAGAAATAGTCCCTACGCAAATAGAAGCAGACCGATAATACCATAGGTTGTGAAACTCGGCTTTCGATGAGTGAGTTATTCGTTTAAAGGGTAATGTACTATCTTCCAAAGAATTTACGAAGTTTAGTATTTTGCGATGCGAATAATCGGTTGATAAAATACGTCTACTTTCGTGCCTGCAAACGTATGGGATCGACTGCCAGTTGCAAAGAGCAATCCAGCGAGTATATGTTAATAGCGATACTGATTCACGATAAGCAGCATTAAGTCGAGACCTTCCAGAGTTGGCACTGATCTCCGCCAAGGCTACGTTCTTGCCCCTCTCCCGTATATGCTGTTCATAATTAGAAAGGTCAGGCGCATCCAGGAAGGCGAGCTTTCCAGCTTACGAGACGTGGATACCGTAAAGGTGTTGTTTGTGGGCGACCTTGTTTTGTTGATATCGTCAGAGGCTGATCTACAGCGCTCTCTGGAAAGTTCCTGGCCGAGTACGACTTTGCCAGCATGTGAGTGAACGCACCTAAAACGAAAAGCCCAGTGCTTTCTCGTTCTCCTGTCCGTTGCTCTCTTCAGATTAACGGAGAGGCAGTGGAGCAGGTAGAGAAGTACAAGCACATCGAGGTCGTGCTTACTGTTGGTGGAAAATTTGAGGAAGAGATTAGTGGCGTTCTGGGTGAATTAGCCGAACCACTATGACTAAAGAAGAGCTGAGTTCGAAGAGTAAAATCTTTGTGCTCAAGTCGATCTTCACGCCAATGTTCATCTGCGGTCGTGACTAATTGGCCATGACTGAGAAGCGTTGATTCAGGCCGCGTGTAAGCGGATGAAATGGCCTTTCTGAGAAGATTTGCTGAGTTCACGTGTCTCAGCATGATCTGGCGTTCAGTAGTCTGAGAGAGCTTTGATCCACAGTCGCTGTTGCTCAAGACTGAAAAGTCAGAGTGCGACGATTTAGGGACGCCTTGCGAATGCTTGCAGAAATGAGGATGAAGCAGCTACTACTTCCAAAACCGGCTACCTAGAGACCCCCCGGGCCGCCAAAGAATGACCTCGGGTAAGTGTCTCGACAAACTCTGTTCTAAGCACGGATTTTTTATTGCCGTAGCTCAAACGCTAGCAGCATCAGAAAGCAGAAATCACGGCAAGTTAGCCAGTTCATTGTCGCATTCGAATTTATGCTATGAGAAAGTAATCAAGGCAAGAGACTTTGCACAATCTGTTCTTTGCATGACCATCCATTTGTTACCGCTGGCAGACGGTAATAGCAGACCGAAATTCAGCGGTGTAGATCATGGCGGTTGGGTGGACAGTTGTTGCTTCGCCAACATTCATTGTCGAATAGCGAATTTTTAATTCTATTAACGCTGGCACTCACCGGCTTCCTTCTTCCACTGACTTCCCTGTCTGACTAATTTGCGCGATTCACCTGACGGCTGAGGTACATGCAACGGATCATTTCCTCGAATTCTTCGCCATTCGCATGCGACAGTAACCGTTCAGCATCCTGTCCAAAAGGATATTTACTTAAAAACCGCCCCTTCAACGTTCACTCTACTTTTGTCGTTGTGGCTGCGCCATGAACGTAAGTCAGCTCTACAATATTCCCTCCAGCATTTTTTGACGAGTGCTTATTCATAGTACCAACCCTTAATAGCTGCTACCGATGATTATCCAGCTCCTTAAAAACTGGACCGCTTTGTAAAGTTTTGCTCATGGACAGACATCATTGGCGAGTAACAGGTAGCACCATCGTCTCAATTAAACGTAATGGGCTTCGGCTCTTCAATAGGAGGAAAGCACCACCATAAATTTCAAACAGTCACATCAGACTGACATAACGATTTAGTAAATTGCCCGGAGAATTGCTAAAAATTTTGAAAAACGTTAAGTTAAAAGTTCAATATGAAAAATCTATTTAGATTCCATTGCATACATAGCAAGCCTTCAGCTTAGTATATGCTTAAACTCAAACCCTGCTAATGATTAAGGTGTAAAATGTTGCTCTCCTCTTTTAATTTAATAATTACTAGTTTCTGTCACCATTTTCTCGCGTACCGTATGGTGCAACCGAACTCGAAGTAACTAACGACAAAGTGAGCATCAGGAAGTTTCAAGCGTACCCCCTGGCGAAGTTGGATTATTCAATAGTGCCTCATCAAACGTTGAAGGACAACTACATTTTGCAGGTCCGCCGGGTACGGACCTTTTCGAAACAGTACCAGGTGAGTTTTGGCAAACTGTTTCAAAATATGCCGCTCCCGTTTATGTTATAGAACGGAGCTGCCAAACTGATGCTGGAGTATTCAGACGGGATGAGAACAGATCTTCACGATCTGTCCGCTTCCGAGTTTCACCTTCAGATCCAGGCTGAGGACAACAACGTCATTTTTCTACCTGCTGATGGTCAAAAGCTGGCTCTTTTCCGATACTTGATTCTAGACGAGACGAAGAGGAGTTCGGTTCGTATCTCGTTCTTCGTTCCAGAGTACTGCTTTGAAAAGGACGAATTACCTCTCTTCGCGACATCGGTGGTCATCGAGTCAAACGTGGCGCTAAAAGCATGGTACGATTCAGCGAAGAACTCTGAGGAGTCAACAAAACACGATGGGTATTTTGCGAATCACCTTGTGAAGGTTGTTGTTCCGACGGAACCCCAGAACCACGAGTCGATATCTGAAGACACGTCTCTGTTGCCGGAGCCGGTGAGAAACAGCGGTGGAAGCAAGTCGAACTCCGGTTATTCGCTGATTATGAACCACAGCCGGGGAGTTAAGCCAACCGAGATCATACTTTACATATTGGTAGCGGTGTCACTGCTGGTAGGAATCATTTTTTCTTTGAACTGCTTTATGCACTCCAGACACGCGAAGCTGAAATCCCTTAAGCCGACATGCCCCAGGCTTCCGTTTCCTCTCCGTTCTTTCATTTTCTCTCGGCTTGGCAGAGAAACGGTCATGCCGGCCGGACAGGAGTTCATTTGGATGAGAGCCAACACTTTGACAAGGGAGACACGCAAATCTTTGGGGTGCACAGACCAGCTGAACAATGACAGTGAGTCGAACGTCTTCGAAGGCGAAAACATGTGCGACTACAACGCTAACTCGTTCCGAGGGCGTTCCTCGAAGCGGTCCTCTGTTCGGTCTACGCCGGCCATTGCCTGTTCATCTTCTTGTCACCGACAGACGACTGTCGCAACGGCGTACGCCCCTCGGTCTTTTGACAGGAGCTCGTTGTACCTAGGCTCCGAAGTCTGTGTCCACATCTGTCCGAACCCCGTGTTGGAGGTGCACTGTGACCAGGAACGGCGCGCTGCTAGCTGGAACTTCAGCAAGTCATTTCCGGGTCACCATCATCGTTGTGTGATCACGGACAGCTCGTCGGAACAGAACATCAGCTACGCGTCCACTGCGCCTCGATCGGCCGCCTCGAGGCCGTACGAATCGCACTGGGACAGCCGTTCCCTCGGCATGAATGAAACCCAGTTAAGGGACTACTTTAACAGCTTGCGGGAAACCGTTGCTTGATGGCTAACTCGCGAAAACTCTGTACTGTCGCCGAGACTCGGCTGAGTGACCACTGTTTCCGCCAGACCAATCCCAGGCTTCGGCCACCGGCTGGATAGATGAACTTACGGCAGCGATAGACCATTCTTGCTTGGACTGAACTGTTGATCGGCATCAAAACGCTGCAGTTCCTTTCTTCGTCAGACTGTAAGGCGATGACTTTGAATCGAAGTTCGGCCGGCAATGATATTGTTGTATCTGCTCTACAAGGATACGGCAGCGAATACAGAAGCGGTCACGCGTTGAACTACGAACTCGTTATCATGTTTGTCTTGGTAAATGTTTAACGCGTTCTTGTGCCAAATATTTTTCGAGTGTCGATTAATAATTTTACTAATAGTTAGCATGAAACTCATCCGCAAACCATTACCTTAAGCATTTTACAAGTAAATAAGTTTGTGCACAGAGCAAACATTTGACTAAAACACATTGCATCTACCGAATAGCGAGTGTCACAAGGTCTGAAACTTCCGATAAACAGCTGCATTTGTCCAATTATCCTCTTAGATAGAAGCTTAGCTTAAGCGAAGCTTAAACGTTCGATCGAATCTGATACTCGTTCATACGAAGGTAGTAAATTCATAATCGTCATCAGTGCATTGCATCTACCGTTCTCAATGAATACAACATGAGGTATGGCTGGTCTTTAATTCGCGAGAATAATGCCCCTGCAGTCCCGTCTTTGCGATCAGTGATTGACACATAGATTAATATAATTGCACATTTAATATGGTGCATTTGGTGACATTGAAACCTGCAATATCAAACGTACAATAATTGAATATTTCAAAACTCGTCAAATGCTTCATGAAATTACGCTGTACGCCATATGATTTATTATATACAAATTTTCCAAGGTTTCACTATGCTTGTTCCGTCTTCAGGGAGTGAAATATTACAAATTTTTTTTTTACAGTATTTATCTGTGTATGCGATGCAAAGTTCAGTATGGAGGTTGCACCCTCGATATTGCAATCCCATTACTTTATTAACGCATTGGTTTGATTGTATTACCAACGCTCCTTTCATTTTCCTGTCTAAAAAGTTTCGCTCTCGGAGTATTCCTTTAATATACTCCCATAATATGCAGCGATGTCCTTGGACCGCAGATTTCACAGCTGCCGGGTTCTTTTCACATTCCTGCTTCACCACCTGAGAATCTTTCGCTTGTCTTTGCCCTCTGCTTTTTTGCTTGACCATTCTAACGTAGACTGGCATTGCGCCATTTAGTCAGGTTACTGAGGTATGCTTTCTTCCTCACTTCTGTATCCTTGCTGGTTTCTTCTACGTAACTGAGACCACACTCACAAGGTAGGGTATAAATGAAGCTTTGTTGTCGGGATTTTGGTTCAGTGGTCTCGGTGAATGCTTGCCGTATTCAGCGATTGCGGTCGATCCTCTGCATTTTCTCGCTTAGATTTGGTACGTGTGGAACAACATTGCTCGCATTGACATTCGTACTTTTCCTTTGCTGACCGCTGATTGTTTTCTGTAACAATCTTCTAAGGTAGCCGCTGTTTCTCAAAGCTGTTCAAATGTAGGCAAGCTTCTTTTGGATGCTTCTGTCATCTAAGCTCAACTCACTGCATCTGCCAACTAGAGTACTAGCGATACTCCTCCTCGTGCAGTATGCGTGGTTCGAATCGAACGGTAGGAATTCATTTATTGACATGTGCTGACTTCTGAAACATTGCAGTAACGTACTTGTTCCCTTTCTCGTGGTAAGTGCGTCCAGGAAAGGCATCGAGTTGTGTTCCCATTCCATCGTGAATACGATTTCTGCTGGATACAACGTGCCAACGTGATTCAGGAAGGATGTGTTCGTATGGCAAATATGCCATCAACGTGCCTTCGGAACAATATGGGGTAGATCTTTCTGTCGGATGTGGTGAATGCCAGTGTTTCCAAATGTCCTATAAATATCCGTTTGAACTGGTGGCAACGTAGAACACCTGGCTAAGCCGTTGGTTCGTCAGCATAATTCACCATTGAATCAGAAATAGCTATAACCAATTAGACATATCCTCAAGACATCGACAATGGATTTAACTGCCAGAGTTGCCTTCGATAACTTAGTATCACTCTCGAGCTTCTTTTCTACCAGCTGAAGATTTATTTGAGTGGTAATCTGATGATCAAACTCTTGACGTCATAGTTTACCATGATTATTACTTCTTTCGCCTTCTATTAACGAAGATCCTTTATGAATTCTCTGGAAGTTTTGATATGGGAACTCCTCTTCCCGACGTAATGTGAAGGCAATGGCCGTATGATCGTGCATAAGAATGAAGAAATGCAGCCATTACCTGAGACGATTGGCCGCATTTGTGCTTCAGGCTTGTGAAACTGAGGCGAGCCGTAAAATTCTGGCGTGTTGAAGTTGCTTTTATACATTCACCTTTATTAAATTCATTATTTTGGAAACTTAAACTATTTTCCACAGGGTAGTTGGTTAGAGTTTTGATAATATCATAGCCAGAAGAAAACACTCCTTACATTTATTGATACAGTCTTTTTATCCATGGCTACCACGATGCTTCCTTCATCCGCTTTGAGAACGACAGTTGAATCATTCTTTTACTCCTTCATCGTTTTCTTCTCACTGAGCGACCGATTGCTTCACTTTCATCTTTCATGGCGGCTCCTCCTTTCATGCTGCGGAGGCAGACGCTTCAGACAGAGCTTCCAACGTTTCCAATCCTGTGCCAGACTCTGAGCTTAGGCAGATGACACCAGGAACAGACTGTCTGGAACAGACTCCTTCCATAGATTTGCACTAGGTTAACCAGGTGAACCTGCGGAAGGATCATTACAGTCTGATAAAAAGAATATCGTAATTGAAGACGACTACTGTTATGCTAAAGTAAGGTAGATCGTGTTTTATGTTGAAGTGGAGGAGTAAACTGTTATATTGCAAATGGTGTATGTCTGGGTTGTTGGATCGAATATGTGCGAGACAGCAATCGGAGATGAGTCTTGGGAGTATCATTAGAGTCTATAAATAAATGTGGAGAAAAAATGGTGAAAACGACAACTACTAGGTATTTTAAATGTCGGTAGATCTTATATTGAAGTCAAAAAATAAATTATGTTGCATAAGATCACATTCGGTATATTATATCGAACATGTGTGAATTAGCGTGGAAAATGAAGCGCTTCCGGTGCGGTATGAAAGGCCTGTTTGAACATTCGACGAGGGCATAGCTTGACTTAATACTCGCGGTAATGAATAGGCGGTGTGCGCCTGAGCGGTAATCGCCGGTTTGATGTCGAAGGAGGTTTAAAAATGATGTCCCTGAACGCGCTGCAAATGAAAGTCTACGATTTAAAGTTCTGTTCAATAGAAAGTTTATCGATGAAAGAAAATACAAGAGATTTGAGCATTGAATCACGGGTTCGTTGGTCGATGAGAAATGGTGCAAAACTCGAGAGCTTATGTGAATTGCAGACATATTGAACGTTGATGTTTTGAACGCATACGGTGGCAGAGACTTCTGTCGATGCTACGGCCGCTTGAAAATCGGTAGACGATTGATATTGAATATATTTGAAAGATATTGGACGACAGATTGCTTTGACCCGATTTTCTTTTCTTGGCGAGAATTTTTGCTTCTTGAATGAAATCAAGCAAATTTGTTTCCTTGTTAGCATGATATGAACGCTCCTTCGCAACTGCTATATTTAGAATTGGAACTGCCTGCGAATATATGATTAAATTTAGACCTTTCTTAAGCAAATTGTATTTAGCCGTTGATATTTTTATTTTTATTTATTATTTTCTTCTGCAGACATTGTAGAATCCAGAGTGGGGCGAACCACAGCATGATGTTTGTGAAGCAGGCAACGTTTGCTTCATTTAGCAGGTTGATTAATGGATGTCGATGCCCTGTTCTGCCAGTGTAGTCCACACTGCGGTATTCTTGACCATGGCGAACACTTTTCATAATTAGCGAAGACAATTCACAGAGGGAGTTGGCATTCCCTTGATGTTGTACGTTGTGCTGTGGCTCCTTTGAAATCCTGCCCGTTCTTTCGGCTGCTGCTGGTCCAGGTTCGATGATGAACGGTGAACGGCCGTCGACCTTCTTAAACAAAACGACTTTTTCGAACTCCATTCACTTTAATAGAGTAGAGTTAGAGTCTTTTCTATTTTGAGGTGGTATATGAAGTTCTGAGCTAGAGCTCCGCCCATCCCTCCTTCCACTTTAGCACTTCTGATCATTTCATTTTTCAGATCGTCTCTTCTCTCCCTGAGGCTCTTACTTCTTTCATTTGTTGCGCCTCATGCCAAACCTCGCTTATAAGGACCGGGACTGTACTTTCTTCTAGTTGTTGGAGTGATGAGGGAACCAGTTTTTTTGTCGCAACGAGTTGGGTGTGAAAGTTCTTGCAAATTGACTGCATCACAGCTCAGACACGTTAATGCCCAATCCCCATTGTTCGAAGCCGTGATAATCGACCGATAAGAAGCTGAATTTCCCTTGCATTGTCTGAAGGTTCTGTTGTTTTCGGCTGTGTTCAGTAATTTTTGAAATGGAAGGTCTTGAAACATGTTAAATATTATGTATTAAATATAAATTAATTGTGATTGAATGGATTGAAGCGTAATATTTGAATGAGATTATTAAGGGAAATATCATCAAAAAGATTCAGCTTAGTTCAAGAAAGATTTCAGTCACTAATGGAGGATTAGAGTGCAGTTAAATAGTCTAATATTTAGCAATCATTTTCTGTGCATAAGCCAGGAGCTTCGCGCAGAGGAGTACTACATATAACTGGGTTAGATTTAATTCTTTCTCTTTTCTCTGCCTTTTTCCATAAGCAACAGATCGGTATTTCTGAAAAGATGGCCTGTCACTTGACTTGGTCTGATCACTGGTCAACACCCTCTAAATTCCAATATGTTCGAGACTGTAGTAAATAATCCATAATGTTAACAATTTTTCTTCTATCCAAATTCATTTCAATCCAATCCAATTCTTTTTCCCTGATGTTGCATGTTCGCGATGTAGTTAGAACTGGTTTTTGATGAGACTGCTGCTTTTCATCCTTCAATACAAATTTGGAAACTCAGAGTAACCGTTTATTCCAAATCGCTCTTCTCAGTCATCTCACAGAACTTCCTATGTCAAAAAAACTTTGGAATTTAATCTATCAAACGTCTGAAATCTTCGAAAATTTGTCGATGATATTGCTTCAGGTTTTTCAAATGACATAGGGACGCAATCTCTCTGTTAACGTTGATATTTGTAAACAACGTAGGGGGAGAAAAAACTAGCCAAACCGTGTTTACAAGTTCATTACTGAACCAAAGACTTCTGTGAATCTTACTTTTCAATAAAGATAAACAGTGGGGGCAAAATAAGAAAAAGTAACAGCAATACTATTAATAAAACTGCTACAGACCGCCTCGTGAAGTATAACCACGTAAAGTACAAATAAACTAGACACCGTCATCATGAATATTTTCACACCGATAAATACTGGAAAGCAACTAGCCCAAATGCTTTGGGTCAGAAATTGACCCGGAATAGCAGTGGAATACCGACCACCCTTATTTCTGCAACAAGTGTTTGCCAGATCGCAGTTGAAAGTTGTTCTAGTACTATTCGAAACCCTCAGATTATATTTTATTATCTGACTTGTCTACGTTAAGGTTGCGCCATGAACGCAAGTCCATCATTCTCTATTCACCGCATTCTGCCTCGATAATTTGACCATCGTTCATCCCAGCTTGCTGTTCGATGACCATCTCTTCGTTGCTGGCCCAGCAGAACCCAGTTATTAATTCGGAGTCTATCGATTGTTTCACAGGCGAGCCACGAGCCATGACTGGCTCATTTTCTATAGGCATTATAGACGGCAGAAATCAGGTTTATCAATTCAGTATTTGATGAACTTGTGGGAAAGAACGTGTCTCCAGAGTAAATCTGGCGTATTATTCGCTCCTTACGTGGCCAACAGATGACAGATGTGACTAAATGCATTTGATTTTAATAAGTAAAAGCACTTCTTCGTGATAGAACAGATATTTCGAGCAAGTTTACTTCATAAAAATCGGTCTTTTACCTGTTAACAAACAAAGATCGACGCAACAACACAAGAATGAATGAACATTTTACCGAGAAGCTGTGAATCAAATGTGAAAAGCCATCTCACGACGACTCTTCCGGTTGCAAATCTGAAAACATTGCAGGGAAACCGCCGACATGCGGAGAAAGCGGAGGCGGAGTAAGCGGCGGAACTTCGCCCAAGTTGCCAATCAATCTTTCCAAGCACGTGCAAGCCTCTGGCGACAACATCTGACCCAGTGACGCCTGAATAACGATATAAACGATTTCAAACGTTGAGACAAACCTTAAACGTTGACAGTCTCTCACCTTGTGCAGAAACGGCCTCGCGAAACGCCATAGGCCCCCGAACCCGTATGCTTAAAAAACCTCCGTTACCAGCACAAACGATTTATACTTTACACAGAAAGTTTTACCTTGCAGAAAACTCACATGTTGCTGTGGAGCTACGGTCTCCTGACTTGGCACCATATTTTGCACAATAAGTAAAACCGCCCTCAGAACGGAGGCATCGTGTGACTGCTGAAGGACTTGCGTGATACGCTGATCAAGCAAGGAATGTCTGCAAAATGAAAGGCGACAGTACAGTATTTCGCAATTTATCATAAATCAAAACGATAACAATATCCAGACGCGAAAGCCTCTCCTAAATACTTTGCCTGTTCCCCGTAAAATGCAGTAAACACAAAAGCAACCTTCAGAAGACTGCATATGGCAGACGTAATTTAATTCCGCTTAATCAGCTTCCTCCGGTTTCATAAGAACGAAACTATTACGAAACCGCAAGCACGATTATAGGCAGCTATGTCTACCAACCAAAATAAGGGGAGGAGTCTTAAACGTTTGCTAGCTTGTTTTCATTAACCGTTCAATAACCACTGTTATTATTATTACAACAGTATAGCAAAAATTGTTACTGAATTCAAGGAAAATGTGGTAGGTCTATTTCAATGGTTAGCAGAATAAAAAAAAATTTTTACAGATATTTCAAGGTTTCATCTTAGTGACATCCATCATCATTTCCATTACCGAATGATTAAGGTAAAAACGTTAGAATATCTGCAAATAAAATTTTTATTTTCTTGCGTGCTGCGAACCATGGAATCAGAAGGCCTACTACCTTCCATCCATCGATGGCGCGCGCGATATCAGTATGAGTCACAGATGTCACAAAACTTCTTATGCGGGTGTACAGCCTTTCATTAAGACAGACAAACTGTGCAGATATAAAACGCTCTCATTTCGTACAACAGATTAATCCTAAAGAAAAATACCACTAACAGTTCACAAACCACTTTGTAAAGGTTGATGCAATGCGGCACATTTCTTGATGAAAAATCCAGGATGATTTTAAACGGAGAAGTTCTACGTAATATAAATTGTATAACCCAATGTAGTCCTAGAAATATTACACAGCATTTTACTCACTCTGACATAGGACAAAATTCTGATGTTTATGCGGTAGCATATCACAAATACCAGCTTCTGAATTATCGTTTGTATGAAAAATGAGATGGCGTGAATATTTGCATTTTTATTTTTGTTTATCATCATTTTAGTCATGTCACAATAAACAGGGCGTGTTTTAACTATTAATATGAACAGCGGCCTCTAATTCTTCCAAATTGGTTTTTCTGAACAGAAGCATATACATTTTAATAGTGAACACAATCTGTTTCAGAAAAACTAATAGCAAGGTAAAATTTTTAAATTTTCTTCAATTTAAATATAAAAAATTTGACTGGTTCCAGAATCCTAGAAAAACAAAATATTTTGTTCCACCTGTGTTAGAATGTCAGATAATCACAGAAATATGAACAGTATTACTTTTCAATGACAGTTACATATTTAATTGTGTAAATCTTTCTACGTGATTACACTACATAACCTTCGCCGTAGTTATAAAATAACACCAGAATTTTCCTAAGCAAAGAATAAACAATTGTCTCTTGTAATGATAACTGTTAAAACCTTAATTTTACTTATAGTGGAATAATCACAAAATCAGATTTATCATGGGGAGAATGCAAGGAACATTAGAAACTAGAGACATTATGGTTAGGCAAACGGCTGCAGGTAATTTATCATGAAAATATGAAAACAGCAGGGAAGCATAGGATAGTGACTCAACCTCGCATTTTCCATCTACTACCTATCGCAGTACCACTAGGCGTTAGTCACGTACTAAGCGGATGCAGCGTTGATTTAGGATTCTTCATCACAGCGAAAATAATTGTAAACTAAAAAGTTTGCATAAATTTGCACAGTGCATTACAGCGAAAATTTGTAAATTGATACATACATATTTATGTACTTTTTGCCCCTTTTATCTTTCGTTGAAAGAGATTTCGGTCATGAGCATAAGGCGATTGAACATGATTACATCGTGATTACATCACAGTATCCACAACCAACAGCCACAGTAAATAATCGATCGTATTTCATCCCACTGTGCGATATTAACATTGACCGCTGCTGTATACCTTACGCGACTGGAAGCGCGATGTTGCTTGAGAAAATGTCACGTACCCCAAAACTTCGATAGAGAAAGACTTAAGTTTTAGATTTAGGCTCAACGTCAGGCTTCTCACAGCAAAAGACAGAAGGAGCTCGCAATCGTTGTGCGACATGACTTCATTCGGACTGATCTGACTTCTGTTTCTGACACCATCAACTCCGGAATGGCGTTATTAAGCCACTTGCTAAAGTACGAACACAAAAATCACTTTCCCGATGCTCTGAACGCAGCTACCTATTTTCGCCCAGACCTTCACCGCTACAGTGAATGTTGCAATTAATTAGCCTGATATATCATTTCTAAAAGCCGGACATCACAATTCTCGGTTACTCTGCTGCGTAAGCTCTGCTAACCTTTGATGACTACATAACAACAATTAACATTCGCGATGACGTTTTAAGTCCGTTGCGCTGCAAGTGAAAATACGTATAATGACACTCCATACAAAACTGAATGCAGGGGTGATATGGTTAAATAGTTTATTAAAAATCTAGGAACAACGGGCGGCAAAAATCCATGGGGTAGAATACGGGCTATTAACTCGCTTTGCAAGTAAAATGCCTATGGGTCGATTCCCCATAACTCCACCAACTCCGCTATTGCTGGTCTCAATCTCGGATAAGAAAGAAGAAGGGTTAGAGACCGTGGCGAGGTTTCCCGTAAAACTTAGTTAGATGACTATCACGGTGTTTTTGCCGTCGAACAAATTACCGGCTCGGCCATCGCCTGGGTTACGAACGGCTGTACAGGCCGCTGGCGAACTGAGAAAGACTGCGAAAAGACCAATGAGGATCGCTTTCTGACAGCTAGGGGCCTAGCAACACGGAAACGGTTGACGAAAACCAACAAGACGTCAAAAATACCAGCCAGCAACGAAGCCGCTACCTGTTATCAAAAGAGGAGGTAGGCAGTACAATGAAATTATAGCACATCAGATAAGGTTCCACGGTAACGGTACCGATTTTGGCAGTTTACATTCGGAAAGTGAAACATCTCTTCACTCACAGGGAAAGAGTAAGAGCTAGTTAACGAGGCCGCAAGGTATAAACTTAACATAGTTTGACTCTTCAAAGAAGCGTCAAGGCTCTAAAATTGATTCTTTGCCATTAGCCCTTAGACTCCTACGGGTGAAAGTTATTCTATAATTGTCGACAGGCGCTCAGGCTGGTGCTCGAATAGAACCGTAGCTGACAGAAGTATTGAATGGATCCTCAGTGGAAGAATGGTAATCCTCTGACTGAAGCTACAACAGGCTAACCGTTGACTTCGGTACAGGCCTACGCGCCCAATTTGGAGAGAGTATACGATACCTTACTTGAGAAAGTGCAGTGTACTCTGTCCGAAGTTCTGAATACAGACTACCTCATACTCATTGGCGATTTTAATGCGCATGTCGGAGTAGACGCTGAAAAGTGGAACGGCGTGATTCGAAAAAAAACGGCCCTAGCGACCTCAAAAATAACGGCACGAAGTTGTTGCGGTTTTGTGCAAACAACGGATTGTCTATTATGAACACCTTCTTCGAGC